AGAGACTGAAAAGTCAGAGAGAGAAATGTCTAACTTATTAGAAGAGACATTTATAGCTTTGAGTTCATCTCCCAGGAAGGGGTAGGGGGCAGCTCGGTCGCTCAGTCGGGGGTTGGGTCACCTTGGGTGACCTTGCTCACCTTTTGCATCTTGCGTACGGTTCTGGTTTCTGTAGCAACCGCCTGACATGTTCAGCCTGATAGAACTCCTGCAGAACCACCTGTAAACAGATTACGTCACTTCACACGTCACATGCAACGTCACCGCGTATAGTTATAGTAATTTATTGATTTTATTGATATAGTGTAGATTAGGAGGAACTGGGAGTTGTAATTTAACCCTACTATCATCCATGTCTTACCTGTTATTATCAATACCTTCCTTTCTTTTACACATTGCTTTACATGCTAATCACACTACATTACCTCCTTTCACATTACCTCTTTGGTACCTCTAGCCCTATCATATTATCTTACTTCTGGATCATATTACCTGAGTACTATCATCTTATCTCTTTTATCACATTACCTGGTCTTTGGATCGTTTTCTTTCGTGCCACATCTTCCATGCTTTCACGGGCATCATCAACGATAGCAATATGAGAAACAGCAGTGAAGGCAATAGTTGAAGCAGCGCATATCGCGTAGCGTATAAGTTCTAAACAAAAAGCAGAGAAAAGCAGTGCGTTACATTATCATAAAGGTCTTTACGAGTAGGCTGCGTGCACGCATGCGCATATTCACACAACCACGCAGACACGAAGATAAAGTAGTTTAAACTTGCCTATCAGCCTCTCCACCCATACTCACACACACACGCGAACGCCAACACACTTACACGAACGCGCGCGCGCACGCCCGCACACACGTACGCCCGCACGCGTGCGCGCACACATAAGCTACTTCACCTCCTGCCTGCTCTCACCATACACTATTGCTGATGTCTCTCTCTCTCTCTACTTCTCTCTGCTCTCTCTCCTCTCTCTCTCTCTCTCCTCGTCTCTCTCTCCTCTCTCTCTCTCTCGCTTTCTCTCTCTATCCTTCCACTTTATCTTCCTCCTTTCTCTGCCTTGAACTTTCCCTCGCTATGCACATTAACATTATACATTCCTAATTACATTATTAGTTAATAAGCAAACAAGAATGGAAACGTACGTATCTGTGTAGCTCCTTGTAGGGCCAGAATATCCAGACTAGCTCTGCACCGAGGAAGGTCCATACGTAGACACAGCCTGTCAGATATCCTAGCACGGACTTCATCGACAGACAGGCAAATATCGGGTAATAAGCCAGACAGTACACGAGCAGCGAACCTATCATGTTTATAGCTGCAAAGAGGTACATGTCCGATTAAATAATGGGTCATATATATAGTATATATATATATATATATATAGTATATATATTGTGTATATATATAATAAAAAATAATAATATATACTAGGAGGAGAAGTCCGCCAATCAAAGATTTCCATGTCTATGCGTTGTGCCCATTATTACACACTCAGCTCATTTTACTCTTTTCTTCTCAGGCTGCCTATACCTGCTCTAAGGCTACTTCCAATCACCATGTTACAGAATGAATCTGCCGTGAGTACACTACATTCTAGGGCGTCCTACTATTTACAAAGTAAGATCTTGGTATAGAAATTTATCATATTAACCTAATCTACAATACCCCCTCTCCATATTAAATACATAATTTAAACAAACTACCGCTCCGCTGAACGGGTATTGCGCATGCGCAAACACAGACCATAACCTGTCAACAACACGAAATATTATGCAAGACAGACTAATGTATCACGTGCTAAGGTCTAGGTTTGTGCATGCATATAGTGTCTGCGAAATAGACAAGTATGTCATTAAATTATATATATAATT